GTAGGCTAAGAATGCTCAACTTTGTGAATTGCCATACATTGCATTTGAGTAACTTGCTTAACTGAGGAACTCCTCCAGGGGTAGTGATTACTTTTCAACAATTTTTCTGGTCTTCTTTTGATCAATCAACGGAACACAACTGCTTATGTGTTCGTAGTTGGAATACACGATTTTTTTTACATAAAAAATATTTGTTTTAGGTTTTCAGATGCTAACAACTAGAGCAAATAATTAGACGACTTCGTAGTAACTTAAATAGCCGCATGTCATCTAAAGTAGCTTGGGAACAATGACAGAATTTTTCTCAAAGAAAAAGGAACAAAAATACTTCCAAACTGGACTTCAATATAATCCGTATTTTTGGCTATTGAGTTCTTTCATAATGTGGTGTATTAATTACCAAAAGAAAATGACAAGATAAGATCTACTATCAGACAAAAAATATGTGAAAAGATTTCATTTTGAACTTCCAATATGCACAGTTCATAAAATTATTGGTCATGTTGATCGCCAATCTAACATTGCACAGCCTTTTAGATGCACGAAAATCTCTAAAAGGAATATTGCCATACAAGACAATAGCCAACAAAAGAACAGAGATATCAAGAAAAACACCACCTCTTAGGCAAAAGGTGAGGTAACGCATACAAATTATTGTCCTGTGCAAAATAAAAGGTAGTAAAACAACAGTTGAAGTTATTTGTTAAAGTTATTGGAAATTCGAAGATAAGTGATTGTTTTTCTTAATTGTCCCTCTGATAGCAGCATACTCAACAAAGTGCTAAACGATGAGATCATTGAACAAATAGTGAACAGAGATTTCCAGCAACACAAGCTACCCAGATTCTTTTTTCTGACTAATCAAGTTTCTCAAACAAGACTAGCACCAAAAGCAGGCATTTTTCTTGTATTACAAGTACACTAACATTAAGTTGATGCAATAGACGCATTCTAGTAATGACTATTTATGGTTGAAAGCACCCACATGCATAGGAAATACATATAGTACTAAATATGTGTGCCAAGAGCAGCAATAAATCTTAAAGAAAACAACATACATTTTCCTTCAATTCAGTGAAGCTGTTCACTCTATTTACCAATTCAGCTTTGGGAAGAAAAGCTCGCAAACCCTGTATAAGGACCAGAGTTACAAAGCATTACTTTCACATAAAAGCACAAACCTCCAGATGCAAATCAGACAAACTTACTTCAATTCTAGTGAGGAGCCCACCAGTATTCCACTCTGTAATTTTAACCTCAATAGGCTCATTTAGCTGTTTTATCTGCGGAAGAAATAGTGTAAGCATTTTTTTAGATTCCATAGTTAACAAACATCCACATCCACATCCAGAGACCAACAAACTAACTGGTCTCACATTGGCAACAGCTTAAAGCATAGACTCAGAGGAAAATGATTAAAGTTAAGTTTGATTGAAAATTCAATTTAATGGGATAAAAATATGAATGAAACAACATTTATGTTGTAAGATAAATCCATCAATTCAACATAAATATTTTGTGATTCCTACTCAGAGGAGTGAGAAAACAAATACATGGTGAAAACGAAGATAAGAATGAGTCTGGTTCAATGATG